AATGCTTATGGTGGTGACCCATAAGCATACATTGACATCTACACCAAGACAATCATCCACCTGCTATTCATTAATCACCCACCTGCCTCAAGCCCAACTCATACATACATCATACAAATAAGAGCAGATAAAATTGCATTCATCATACGTATGTCCCCAAGTCCGTCCATTCACCATGTACCTATATACCATTAACAGTAAATGGAAGCAACTAAAACCTGCATTCACTAGCATCTACATCCATCAAACATGTAATTATAACCATAAAAAAAGTAGCAAAAATATATAAACTTGTCTTCACAAATCACAATAAGCATCTATCAAACCATTCATTCACCATTAAAAAAATAAAAAGCAACCCATCAAGTCATGTGTTTCAAGGTTAATCATCTCACGAAGAAAAAAAAAAGCCCAAAAAGGCAAAATACTAGACAACTTTTTAATCAAAGTCAGACAACCGCCATGTTCAACGACCTATGCGACCCATCAGCCAACTCAACCTAATGGTTGGGGGCAGGTTCAAATAAAACTCTCTTGGTGCTGGGTCATGGAAAACCTCGTATATCCTGTCATAATCAAAAAGGTCAAGTCCTTCAATGGTGTTGACCTCCACCAGCACAAAAGACATGGATGTTGAACTATCCTTATTTGCAATCCATTTATGGCCTCAACCAACCTATCAAACCTCTTTTCAACTAATGTAGATTGATCAACCACTGCATCACAGAATTCGACTGGTCTCTTCCTACGTGGAGTTTTGGTGCTTGTGGCCGAGACCTGGTCAGTATCACCGTTCATTGGTTCATCAACTCCTACTGATGGGTGTTGGGTCTCATCAACAGGTGGGCCAGTTGAGATGTTTCCCTCATCTTGGGGTGCGGACTCTATGCCTCGTGCCAATGATGCTGAAAACCTTCCAATGGGTGTTGTTCCCCCAAATATGACCTCTAAGTTGTTATACTCTGGGCAACCCACAGTACAAAACTTTTTGGCTTTGGGATTAACCTATAAAAAAAAAAGACATTGGAACACCAATCAATTTGTATGCAATGTATTGAATTTAAATAAACAATCATATATGTTATAGAAAATACCGTCAAATAGTTGCCCTATGTCTCTGGTGAGGCTATAACCATATGCTTCTCTTCATCCTAACCAAATCCGGTTTGCCCATATCTCAGCTTTGTAAACTCCTTATATCTACTCTTTAAGTCTTGTATCTTGTTATTAAACGATTTTGTATTGAACTTCAAGCCAAATTTTGTGAAAAAACTCTGTTTCACCTCTTTCCAAGCAGTTGGTTTCAAACAACCAGCTACCATTCCCCCACCCTGGACTTGTTATACAAGTAAATCTATGAAAAAAGTTTCTTGTGTAGGTGTCCAGTTTGCATTTGTGACGGGGGTATTCTCAAAAGATATGTTAGACACACTAGTCGTCATCTAATCATCATGAAACTTTAGGTTACTGACACAATATTGTTGAAAATTTATAGAATAATCATATTTTTTTCCAATCAACTAAAAAAATAGAAAAATGTTTGATGGTTGTATGAGTCACCTGAATTAGCTATTCCCTTTGAATGTTCATAAGTGGATAGAATCCTACAATCAATAACAAGAGTATGATAGCTTCAGTAAATTGTCGGTACAACCCACATCAACCAATATGTACAACCAATGCACCAAATAACAAAACAAAGAATCTTGTGTGAATGTTTTCTTCCAAGTAATAACAAAGCAATAAGTGTTTAGATACAAAGCAATAACAAAAAGCAAAGACTGTCAAAGAGAAGCTTAGCTTGATAGATGTTTGCTTGCGAGTAATGTATGGGTTAAGCAAATTTTTTCTTAAATGAGAAAAGTGTTGTCTACAGTTTTGGTGCCCTACTAGAAGCTGGACTCCATGAAAGAAAACAATGCATATTAAGGTGGATCATGCAAGAAAACAATGCTGGAATCCATGAAAGAAAACAATGCTGGATCATTAGACAGTCATACATCTGAGGGCCTACTGCTTCGAGCCAAAATTTGCATAATCCTCCTTACCATTCAAATTTTATGGACCCACTACTTGGAGATATTTGGTGTGTTCATTTATGGGCCCACTGCTTGGAGATATTTGGTGTTCATTGGTACTTTACTGTGTGTGTGTGTGTGAGAAAGAGAGAGAGAGAGAATTGGATGATTTCTCAAATATTAATTTGCATCAAATCAAGGATTGCCTTTACAACTATGATTAGCAAGTCTTTTTGAGAGAGAGAGAGAGAGAATTGGATGATTTCTCAAATATAATTTGCATCAAATCAAGGATTGCCTTTACAACCGAAGTGTACAGCAAATTTTATCCAGAAGGAGCTTTTCATGGTTCTTAGGGTTTTGGGCATGAGACAAGCTTCTATGATCATCCACATACACTTGTTTTGGGCATGAGACAGATTGAAACCATTTTATTTGTCCTTAAAAAAGAAAGAGTTTTTACAACATAAAGCTCATTAGGGTGGATATTTATTAACTTCAGAGGATGGAGCCATAAGATCATCTACAAATTCAAGACAATAAATACCATCAAGATAATCCTTCCAATTAATCATTAGGAGTAAACCACCTACACAATAAACACCAGTAGAGGTAAGTAGAGATTTATTTATGGATACTTTGAATTGGGCAATGCTGTTGTTAAATGTGCAAAATGTGTAAATTGGAATCAAAATTGCTGAATGAGCCCTAAGTATAGACTATAGATATAGAGGGATGGACTATTGTCTGAACCTAATAGATATATTGTGACTATACCCAATAAATCATATGGCCTAATTCTTGCTACATATAACTATATATAGGATCCACATTTGGATTTGGATGGATTAAATATTACCCAAGAGGATCTATCCAGGGAACTCAAAGTTTGATGAATGTTGGATGGGTCAAGATCATGGGTTACAGCCTACCACAGCAAGCCATCCACTTAAGTACAGGAGTGGAAGGGCTCCTTGGTATAGCAACAGGTCAATACCCAGATAGTTTTTTTCTTGTGGATGCTAGATATGTTTCTTTGTTTATTATCTGTATATAATTGTATAACCCTGGTGTACACACCCTTTTATAATTACTAATATATTGATGGTACCTTCAAAAGGCATGAAAACATGATGAGAAAAGATGATTATTGAAAATTTTAAACAGGAAAATGGAGCCTGTTAAAAGTTACTTCTGCTCAAAAAAGAAAAGAAAAAACTTTTAACAGGCAAAGGAGCTAAGAGGCACATGGTTCTAGCGTGTGACAATGAATTGTGAAGTACTCCATGCCATTCCAACAGAATATTACATCAAATTGTTTAGCAAATGGTGTTGGGAAGACAAATGGTGTTGCAGTCCATTGTTTAGCAATACTTTTCCTGCTCTCTATCAAACTACATTGGGAAAAAAAGAGCTATGAGTAGCAAAGGGTGTTGTCTAGGCCCTCATCTAAGGCATAATGCTAGATCATCTTCAGCAGCATAAACCTTTTATTGAGAGGTTATATAAGGGAGTCAATACTCTAATGGCCTGTTCTTGGTCAAGTCCTTGTGTTGCCTTGCTAGGGGTGGGAGCAATTTCTTTTCCCCTTGGCATTGATTCTGTTATTGTTGCCTCGAATCCTAAACAAGGTGTGTTTTTCATGTCCATGCCTCTATGGCATATCTAAACAAGATTCTTACAATTGATCAGCTTACCTCAAGGGGATGAGATGTAAGTATTGAATGTATTCTTGGTAAGTTACGAGAATTGATACCGCATATTCTCATTCATTGCAGCCTCTCCATAAAAGGTACAGTCCCAGTTCATTAAACTTTTTCACAGGCAATTGATCATACCAACAAAACCTAGTACACTTTAATACCAGGCAAGTGAAAGCTTTCAGTAAAGAAGGTAAGAAGATTCCAGTACCAACAAAACCTAGTACACTTTATTACCAGTTAGACAGAGACACTTACATTCCTAACCCAACAATAATCGATGTTCCAAAAAATACATTAAAAAAAAAGTCGTATTCAGGGGTCATGCATAGGATTGTTTATGGTGTTCTTAAACCTAACAATAATCGATGTTTCAAAAAACCCTAATAAAACATGCACAAGTTTAAACCTAACAATTTTTAACTATATTAAAAAAAAAAAAGAGTAAACATATAGAAGTTTAAAGACAATCGATGTTCCAAAAAAAACCGTAACAGTACATATTGGGATGGGGGTTATACTTGTGCAAACCACCACCGAATAACAGATTACCACCGCCACGAAATTCACGAGCACCAAATGCTTTGTAATCTCCTACAAAAGAGGGGAAAATTATTTTAGTGGAACCACGGAAGAGAGACGAAGAAGAGGATGGCGATGGCGGAAGAAGAAGAAGAAGATTGAAAGAGGAGGAGCAAGAGGAGGATGAAGGGAATGGAGGAATCGAACCTGTGAGAAGTGAGAGTGAAAGTGTCGAGTGTGCGAATGAGAGGAGTTTGGGGGGGTTTAGCATCAGGGGTTACTGTTCATTTGTGTATGCGTGTAAGATATCGCACACGTATAGGGAAGCTCCGAGAGGGCATATAAGCCCGGAAGTTACGATCGTAGCTTCCTGAAATCAGCCCAAATTGGGTTTCTCTAGGCTTTTCAGCGCAATGTCTTTTAGCGACAAGATCTGATATGAACCGATTAGGAATAGACCGATTTTCGATATTATGGACTTCTAAACAGACGGAAGACTGTACGAAAAGACTTGCCAAACGCGATCTGCGTTTAATAGGCACAATCCTTTTCGGTTCCGATCAACAAACAGTATCAACGTAAGGAAGATGTTCTTAATGTGCGGCTGCAGTGGAGTGTTGGTACTGGAATCATTTTGTTGGTAACATATCCCTACCGTAGCCAAAGTAAATCCTAATTGGGGAAGGTGTAAGCGAATCATCAATTAAGGTGAGCGACCGGTCGCAAGAAACACTGGTGAAAAAGACAAAATATCACATCAAAACTGGTTTCGATTAAAACGCTGGTGTGTTCAAAACTCACTGGTTTCGTCCTGAAATGTGATCTCATCTCAGGTTAGGTCAGTTCAACTGTTCCAGCTATCTGGGGTAGCTTTTCTACTTTTATTCGGGATCAGAGCTAACTAGTTCTAGGCAAATACCACATCCATGTCTTCATATACACATTTTATTCTCTCTGCACACTCTGTTCCCACCTACAACCTCGATGTAACTGCAACATAATAAATTTGCAATAGCAAAATTGATCTCTCTCTCTCTGATAAATGAGGGGTCGCAGGATTCTTACATTTCACTCGGCGAGGAGGAACTAGGCAGAAGAGAAAGCTAGAAGATGGATACTCGAGCGAGGAAGAGTAGGGAGACAAGCCCAGACTGGGCAAGAGTATATGTTCAACCCAAAATGAAGGCCTTCAAGAAAGTTCAGGTTTTGTATTATCTTTGTAGAAATGGGCAGCTTGAACATCCCCATTTCATGGAGGTCTCTCACTTAGCCAACCAACAGCTTCGTCTAAAAGGTAAGTAACACAGAATAACTTCTTTCTTTCCTTTTTTTTTTCTGTATCAAAATTCTTTTGGGAACACTCCTGTATCTTTATTCATTTTCTGTGCACAAAGATGCCATAGATCGGCTTACAGTTCTCAGAGGTAAAGGCATGCCCTCCCTGTTCTCCTGGTCCTGCAAAAGGTATCACTGTTTATTCAACTATACATTTCCGTTAAGCTTTCGTGCTCGTGATTTCTCCTTCATATTCTTATTAAACATTCTCTGTTACAGCCTGGGAGATCCATCTTCTCATCTCACCCTTTTCTGTTTTTTCTGGTTACTGATTTAGGAATTACAAGAATGGTTACGTGTGGAACGACTTAGCAGAGAATGACGTGATCTATCCAGCAGAAGGAGCTGAGTACATCCTCAAAGGGTCTGAGCTAATAGAAGGTTGTGCAGGTTAGTCTCCAATAACTTCCCTCACCTCCGCCTGGCCCCTACCATCCTTTACTTTCTCACCCCCAACAATTATTTTCTTTTCTTTGAAACAGAGAGGTTCCAGCAGCTTCAAGTAAGCAGAAAGCAGCAGGGAACAGAACCAAATGTCCATTATAAAAGAAAACTAATAATTAGCGCTCGAAACAGAGAGCTGGAAGAAGTGGAAGACATGCAAGAGGAAGAGGAAGAAGACGAAGAAGAAGCAGAGAAGGTAAGCAATGGCAGCTTCAACAGACCGTCCTACTCTCGACGCTCAAAGGGTGTTTCGACAGACAAAATCGAGAAGCACAAGAACCATCAAAAAACCCAGAACAATCTCACAGAGATTACGTTAGACGACGCATCTCCTCCTTCAACTTCCTCGACCGTTTCAGAGAAAGCCCACGAACCTAACAGTAATTCTCAACGATTCGAGGACTGTGACTCGGCCACTGAGCCCATAATGAGTCGGAACTCGGTTTTGCTCCAACTAATCGCTTGCGGCAGCTCGGTGGCCATTAAGGGAAGAAATGTTCCTACTCTGAATCACCACCAATCGGTATCGAATGGGAGAAAGAGTAATAGCCTTCACAAAGGGGTTCTCTGCAAAACTGCAATCAGGATGACCGAAGATGAAGAGATCAATTACATGTCGGAGAACCCTCGATTCGGGAACCCTCAATTAGAAGAGAAAGAGTACTTCAGTGGGAGTATCGTGGAGTCGATGACATCAGAAGACCGGGTCACGATGGAGCCGACACTGAAGAAATCGTCATCGTACAACGAAGCAAGGTTTGTTCCACACTTCCACTGTCCGTCTGTCCCTCTCCTAAGCCAATCCGACACTGAAGAAATCATCATCGGGCGAGTCAAATCCAGACTCAGTCATGGAAGAACAAGCTTTTGGTATGGCTGTGGGCCTTGTGGCACTCTTTTGAGTCTTCAGTCTTTTGGAGGTTCTCCCAAGTCCCAAGTCCCACAGCGTCCTGATAACATGGGCTTAGTTTAGGGATACTCATGGGCCAGGCCTGGCCGGTTTTTAACAGCATTTAATTATTAAAGCTTTTGGGCTTCCCGGGCCTGATAATATATAACCAGGCCCGAGGATGGGCTGGGCATCAGGGTTGCTTGGCCCAGAAAAAAAATAGCTGCCCCTGCCCAGATCCAGAAATTTGCAGGCTTGGCAGGCCAGGCCGGGTCGGTCATAAATGATCATCCCTAACGTAGTTGCTTACACATGGGCCCATGGGACTATGTCCATTTGTCTGTCAAAATTTGTCATTGAGCTGAGCTAAACACTGGATTTATATAAATTTGCATTTATTTGTTATAGCAGGAGCATGAAGACTAGGTTGGGAGAAGTAAGAGAGGAGGAAATGGAGAAGGGAGTGAAAGGGAAGTGCATTCCTCGCAAGAAATCTTCCTCCAAGGTCCAAGCCAACCCAAAAAGAAATGATAAAATGACAAATGTATCCTAGTATTCTTTTCTTTTATTTCTTTCTTTACTAGGAAAGAGGTGATGTTGGAGTAGATGAGTAGTGATACTTAAAATTCTGACTTGTGGGACCAGAAGTTCTTTGTCGTGGAAATATGAATGATGGGACTGTGGGAGTGGATCAGTGGAAACAATGTTGATGATCTCCTTTTTTTTTATTAAAAAAAAATGATGATTATGCTGCAAAGCTGATCATTTCATTGCACCAAAATCTAACTACATGAATGAGCGGGCGTTCAGATGTACTTAAATTAAAATGCTGATGTGGCAAGTTATTTAAAGATGGAAGTAAGATAATATGGCTTTGCCAAACACAATATGCATATGTCATGTCAGTCTGATTCGTGGAACCTGTGTATGGAGCTGATTTGAGAGTCGGTTGTTTGATTATCCAATAGGAATAAGGTTGGGGTGGAAGCTTGTTTATGTGAACTATGAGAATGGCATTTTTCTTGTAGATGATCCATGAGAGCACATATTACAAGCAATTTAATTGTTGGTTCAAATTAAATTCACATATGGTACAGGCTAGTAAGCTCCTTTCAAATTAATTGGTGAAGATGAACCCAGCTAGTTAATTCATGAGATATTATTGTTTTTCCTTAAGCGGGATGGTTTGTAGATTGATTTGCTCCTATTATTATAGAGGATGGAGGATAAGAGAGACAGAACAGATCTCACCTTAACAATTTGAATTAATTGAACGCTTTAACTCTAGCAGGCTGTGGAAAACGTTACCAGTCCATGAATTCTAGCTTATATCATATTGGGCTGCTAAAAAATATTTCAGACTGGGCCAAACGGCCCATATGATGATATAATACAGTATAAGCCTATTAGTTCGTTGGTGAAAGAATTGAGGTTGAAAACGGGGCAGTAGGGAGTGGGCTGCTTGCCTAGTTGCCTGCTTCATTGTTGCTCCTTGGAGATTGGAGTATGAAGTATGAACAAGAGGAACGTGAAGTAACCGGCTGAGTAGGCGCCTAACAAATCTATAGTTGTTAGATCTGATATGCCAGGTGGGAACCACCATCATCATCACCATCTAAGCCATATCCCATATCATTTCAATCCAAATCATTTTTGGTCTCTCTCTTGTTCTTCTAACTCCATTACTTATTCTACTATGTACTATAGATAACCTTCTATATATACATACAATCAAACTATCTCAATCTTCTTTCTCTCATTATCACCTATTAGAGTCAGGGGTAGATCCAGGACCTTTGATTAGTGGAGGCAGGGTATCCACTATCCAGCAGGGGAAATGGGTATCCAATGATGAGGATGAGGAAAATTATTATCTCTAGGTTTGAGGAGACAAAATAGAGGGATGTGATTCAGCTGTTGAGGGATGTGAAATGACAAAAGAACAGAAGGGCAGGAAAAACATAAAAGTTAAAATCCTGAATCTCAAACCTTATAACTTTGTTAATATGGAATAAAGATATGGGTGTCACTCTTGTATATTTTTCTTATTTACCTCAAAAAATTGACCCTATTTAAAAAGCTAAATTTTATTAATTGTATAGAAAATTAAATTTGTTTATAATATTTTTAATTATATAAGACTTTTTTCAAATCTCAGTGGGGGCAATTGCCCACACTGACTTCTACATAGATCCACCACTGATTAGAGCTATTCCTAGGTTCGTTCTACATAGATCCGCCACTGATTAGAGCTATTCCTAGGTTCGTTCAGTATAATTTCATTTCTAACCTTATCCTTTCTGATTTGACCACTTATTCATTTAAGCATATACAGTCATACCTTTCTTTTTTTTTTTTTTTTGTGGGGGGGGGGTGGGGGGGCACCTTCAGTTTGATTCCAAACAACAGCCCTTCCTACTTGAAGGTAATAGCCAAGCTCAGTTTCAACTTTCTTGAGCCAGGTTAGTAGCCAAATGATGCAAATGAGTTTAAGGCCCTGTTTGATTTCACTTCTAAAAGGTACTTCATTTAAGTATTAGGACCATACATTAAGTGGCAAAAAAGTACTTGTGTGTATTGATAAAAACGTCACCAAGAAGTACTTTTTTTTGAAAAGTACTTATAGAAAAAGTGACCTATGAATGCCTTTTTTTAGCACTTCTTGAAGAAATGCTTTTTCAAAATGAATGGGACAATTCAGTCCCTAAATAATTTATTTAATACCAGTTTTGCCCCCACGTGAGGGTTTTCTTTCCTCTCTTCTTATTCAAACACAACAAGTAGAGGGCAGCAACTTCAGTTGTAAGTCCATCGGCGACGATCGACGGTGCAAAAATACGGCTGACAAACCTGCCATTTTTCCCTATGACTATTTTTTTGCTTATTTTATTCGATTTGAAGCATTTTTTCTGAAAATGGCACTCTTCTCTCTATTCATAGATCTATCATTGAGCAAGTTTACCAGCGACATGGCACTCCATGTGTGGGCCCATGTGGGCTACTAGGTGTCATGATGTGGCAATTTTTTATTGAAATGTATAGTATAATATGTGAAAAGCATTGTTTATATGTATGAGTGAAATGGAGGCTTAAATTGTTATTTGTGTCAATATAAGTACTTGTGGGAAAAGTAGCTCACCAAACATCCCCACCCCAATAAGTGCTTAAAAAACATAATAAGTGAATTGACAAGTGGATCACTAAACAGTTTTAAGTGATTGTTAAAATAAGCAATTCTAAAAAGTACTTGTGCAACAAGTATTTCTTTTAACAACCACTTAATCACCAAACATAATTAAGTGGAGACTAGGGTTGAATTGTTAGAGATTTTCCATATATCATGTTCACAATGCTTATATGACATTGGAAACCGGAAATTAAGCAAAGTTTTCATTCTGCCATGGAAATACTAATTGATGGCTACTCTCGCGCTAGTAGCTTGCCTTGTCTTGGCTCCATTGTCATTAGACCTGTTCATGGGCGGGGCCGAGCCGGGCTTTTAGTCTCCATTAATGAAAATATGCTAGGCCCGAGCCCAAGCCCGGCCTGACCTATGGGCCTATAACTTGGGCCCGAGCCCGGGCCTGATAAAAAGCCCGAAGCCCAACCTAATAAATTTCGCAGAGAGAGAGAGAAAGAGAGAGAGAGAGAGAAAACTCACCGTCGCACTTTGACAGAGATCCCTCATCAGTTCGCAACTTCGCATCAGAGAGAGAGAGAGAGAGAGAGAGAGAGAGAGAAAACTCACCGTTGCTGCTGGAGTTATTGTGCCGGTGAACGTTTGCCGCCTCACTGTGGAGTGTGGAGGATGTGGAGGTTGGAGAAGAAGGGTTCGGTTGGAAAAAGAAGAGGGAAAGAGGAAAAGAGATAATAAAAAGATGGGGCTATTCGATTAGGTTTTAAAGGTCTAGGTTTAGGTTGGGCCGGGCCGGGCTCGGGCTGGATTATTTTGACAAAACCCAAGCCCGGCTCGAATTTATTGCGGGCCGAGTTTTTTGGCCTGAGTTTAAGCCCGCGGGCCTATAACCATGTTCAAGCCCATCCGGGGGCCAGGTCGGGCCGGGCCGGCTCATCGGGCCACCCTGCCCATGAACAGGTCTAATTGTCATGGCCCTTGCCATTAGCTTTTTGTTGCATTGAATATAAATTTGTAATTGAAACCTGTACCAGTACTGGAATAGCCCAGAGGCCCTTCTTTACACCATAAAATGATGAAATGAAAATTAGTTCTGGTGCAAATATCCTACATTTCGACCAATTGGCTGGTGTAATAAACCATCTCAGTCCAATTCAATGTCCGCTGTCAAATATGTTAAAATTGGTTTTAATTTAGATTGCTTTTAACTCAAATTTGATCAATCCTATATAAAATCCATTACGGATGAATTAGGTTTCTAATAAATACTTGACCATTAATTAAATATGAACTGGTCCAATTCATTGTCATATTAATCTATCCAATCCGTTCAAATTAATTTTGATTTGAATGAATCCAACTCAAAACCCGGTCCATTGACACCCCTAGATATGAATGTGCATGGAAATTGGGTCTGAACCGATCAATCTCGGCTATTGGATCCGTTTGAAGTTGCTTCAGTGACATGTTTATAAAATTTGGAGTTCCAAGTTCCAAAGGCGAGTTGAGCACTTGAGCCAGCCAGCCACCCCAAATCCAATCGCTTGGCCGACCGCCCTTCAGGCTTCAATTAACATCCTCATCCCGCAAAGATCTCCGAAATTGAAGCGTGCAGCATATGCATGGTTGCCAGATACGATACTTTTGTCTATTGGAAACTCTAACTTCATTAACTGTATCGCCTTGTTTGTTCAACACTCGATCAGAACTCCATCCTACTTTTCCTCCATTTCTGTAGTTTTTTTTTTTTTTTTTTTTTTTTTTTTTTTTTTTTTTTTTTTTTTTTTTTGGGTGTCTCACTCATTCATCAACATGATTCTTGCCGCGAAACTTCGCACTCCCCTCCAGCGTGCTTTGCTATCGGTATCACGTTAAGAGACGTACAAAAGGCAAACTAAACCTGGCAATCCATTTTCAAATCCTAGCTTTCTGTTGTTAACAACGACGTGCATAAATATTTCCCTTCTGATCAATCTACCATTTACCACCTGATCAGATCACGAAATGCCATGCCATCTATTAGAATTTAATTTGCTAAAAAACTATAATTATATGTGTAAATATATTTGATCCTTCTTGCTTTTCGCCCTTGCTTCAATTTGACGTTTCTCTTTTTTGTCACAGTAATTGTTTTGATCAATGCTGGCATTTCTCAACCCAAAGCATTGGTTCAATAGTGTGTGGTGCAGTTAGTCTGATGTCAATTAGTAGGAGTGTCAATTAGATTGGATTTGATTTAATCCCATCCAGTCCAATATGAATTTATTATAAATGAATCGGGTCCAATTCAATCTAATAAATATTTTGGATAATTTTGGATCCGTTTAATTTAATGTTTGGACCATCTAATCTATTCAAATTCGTTTTTGATTTAGATTGGTTTCAACTTAAATCTGGTTCATTGATACGTATATTATTATCTTATATCAATGAACCAGATGTTAATTTAATCTAACCTAATCCAAATATAAATTTATTACAAATGAATCAAGTTCAATCCAATCTAATAAATATTTTAAACTGGATTGATTCAATCTAAATTTGGACTGAACAGGGTTCAATCCAAAACCAGTCCATTAACACCCTTACCAGTTAGACCTCATTTCTCAAATGTTGTTTGAGGATGCAATCAAATGAAAGACCAACCCCTCCTCTTGTTTGAGCTGACCCAATTCAGCTAGGCCAAACACAATTACATTTACCCTCGATTTGGGGGGGGAGGGTTGAAAATACTTGAACCCCATATAAACTATGATGTATATAAATATATATATTATTAGGCTTAGAGGGGGAGAGGGCTATGTGAGCTGGTCCTCAACCCGACCAACCAAACCTATTTTTTCTTTTATTTTTTATTTCCGCTAGATGGGCCTGAAGTTCAAAATCACAACCCAAATAATCCCTGCAAAGATTTGAGTATGGTGTGTATTTTTCAAATGGGTTTTGGGTTGGGCCATAAAATCAAAATGTATGCCACAGCCACACTGTCTTATCACACCGCGTGCTATCAGAATTATTACCATACACGAACTGCAAATGCAATCTTTTCTTGTTTTTTAGATGATCTCCCCAGACCCAACAACTATACACTAAAGTTATTATTAATCTCAGCCATCTGGTGTGTTTTATTCGCATTATTTTCCTTCTTTCCTTCTCATTCCTACTTTTGTCTTTGTTTGCGGTGGTGGTGATTATATGATGGTTTAAAGGGTCCCACCTACTACGCGGCCATTATCAAATAATCCAATTCAGCCATCAAAGTTCAAATTTGAAAGTAAAAAAAGTAAAAGCAAGAAAAAGAAATGATCAAATAATCCAATTCGAGCTATTCAGCCATCAAAGTTTAAATTTGAAAGTAAAAAAGTAAAAAGCAAGAAAAAGAAAACAGTCGTTAAAATTTTGAAGGAAGAAGAAAGAAAAGAACCCCATTCCTAAAATCACGGCACGAGTCGACGTCGATATTCCGTTTAGGCGTTTATTGCTATGTTTGTTTCCTTTTTCCTCATATCTCCGCGTAATGGAAAAGCAACAGCTAAGGCTCTCTAATAGAGAAGAGGGAGTGAGAGACCCCACACAATGAAATTAATGATCCACCATTTTAGTGGCAGTGCTCTGTAACCCCTACATGTGAACACCGACAATTGCCAGCTACTTCGTCTGTCACTCCTTTTCCTTCACTTTATTATTATTTTTTCTTTTCCGGTACTCAACTCGCCCGTCGTCTTATCTATCCTTATATAACTCTCCTTACGACTCTTCGTCCGAGAAGTTATCTCTCCGTTGTATTGCCCCTTTTTTCTCTGCTTGTTCTCGGCGACTCATAGACAAAAGGCAACCTACTACCATGGCCAGACTGCTTCTCTTGTTTGCTCTCTGCGTCCTGCCGGCGTTCGTCGCCGCTGCCCGTCCTGCCAGAAACCCTTTCACCGTCTTTGGCAAAGTCTACTGTGACAACTGCCGCGCTGGTTTTGAGACATCGGCCACCACTTACATTCCAGGTATCTCTCAAGTCTCAGATCTCCCTGCCGTTACCGCCGATTTCTTTCTTTCTTTTTCACCCTTGAAACGCGAGAAAAAATCTGGTTCCATGGCTCTGTAATTAAACTAATAAGATTAGATTTTAGCTTATTATGTAAGTGGGTATATCTTCCACTATAGTTATCATTACCAGAACAAGTACCTTAGCGTGCCCCTACAATCGCAGACCAGTGACGGTAGTTCAGGTCTAGGCCCTATATGCCACCGGTTGCATGTTAACACGAATCCATCCATTTACGGGGCGCTCTAAAAAAATTAGATTTTTTTTTTTTCTAAAGGATTAGATATAAATGAGAAAGAAATCTCTCCATCGTTATGAGATTGAGATCCTAGTCGTTGGCTCCATTGATTTTTTTGGGGGCACCGTTTGTATTGTGGGGCAGAAGGGGAAAAGTGGTCTAGGATTCCGCCATTATAATAATTAGAATAAGGGCAAATTGCTTAAACTACTGTTATGGTTTAATTAATTGATTCAGTGTATCCTTCTGTTTACGTATTGTCTTTTTAAGTAAAACGAAATATCAAATTTGTGCTTCATTATTCTTCAAATTTTGAAAATAAAAAATTTTAGGAATATGAAATAGATTACTGTTCTCTCTGTCTTCGTTTCCAATTTTGTCTCTGCTTCCGTCTCCATTTTCCATCCGACGGCGCGTTTATGTTTGCTGTCTCTTCTATTGTGCTTGAGGATTTGGTTGCTATTAGATCTGGTTTTTTTCGTAGAACAACCCCAGCTTTAGCATCTTGTAGATCTCTGCAACAAAATCTTTAACACTGCATACACTTCTTCCGGTTTAGGAGCATACAACACAAAATCGTACTGCCAATCAGTTCAGAAAATGCCCTTTTTGGCTTTATCCTTAGTGTTGGTTTTGCATTTAAAGAGGGTGAGTTGAATCGTATTAGGTTGTTTGCTGGTTCGTTTCAAGTCAGCTTACGTAGGCTATTATGTTTATGGTTGTTTGGTGATTTTGATTTATGAATCGAGGACACATACTGTTTCTATGGTTTTTCTTTTTCAAATCTTTTTACACACGAGTCCAGCTTGCTTTTTTTACTCTTCAGTCTTCACTCCTGATTTCCGGTTTTCCTGAGAAGTACTCCTAGCTCAAAGTCTTCTCGTCTTCCTCTTGACTCCTCGGCCATCGTTTATCAATTCCATAATTTCCCATCTCAGTGTTGATCCTCATTCCTTCACCGATTCCTTTCACCCCTTCGCCAATCGCCACCCATCTTTCCCTCTTTATGTATTTTGGTTTTGCCTCTTCCACCATTCCTAAACCCTCTCCTGTTCTCGCTGTCTCCCCAAAACTCACCGTCTCCCTCTCATATCGCCACCTTAGATGATCAAAAAGACCTTCCCCTTTGTGTACATTTAGTGCCATTCGAATTCCCCTATCAGGAACACTTAGTGCCATGGATTTCTGCGGAGACCCCTTCTCTCTCTCTCTCGTGCGTTTCCTCCTCTCTAAAACGTTGGATATAAAAATAGGTAGGGCTGTTCATAAGAAGGCCCAACCCGACCAACCCGGACCGATCCAACCCGAGTCGGCTAGGTTTTCATCAGCATCGGTCGGTTTCAGGTTGTACAAATTCATAAACTGATGGTTCGAGTTGTCGAAAACCGAAACCGACTTAGTTCCTACTTAACTAAAAATTGAAATATCTGAAAATATATATTCCAATATTTGTATATATATTTTTGTTTATATATATATATATATTTCTAAAATACATATTTCAGTTTTAAATATATTTCCAGAAAGCTAGGTGGCCATGGGGGTATGGATGAACTTAGAGCCGAAACCGACCCAATCCGACTCAAACCGACCAGGTCGGTTTTGCTTAACACTGGGTTGGTTTTGGTTCCATCTCAGGTAACCCGACCAGGTCGGGTCGGTTGGAAAAACCTCAGTAAACCGACCCAACCCGACCCGTGAACAGCCCTAAAAATAGGCATAACAATCCCATTCATGTGCATTGATTCTTATCTAGCTTATAGAAGTAGAGGTGTAAAGTGGGCCGTGCCAGGTTGGCACGCGGGCCGCCACGGGCTGTGCCGTCTTCCCCAATGGAAATCTTGGGGGTCAGCCTAGCATGACACATGGCCAAGGCCCGTGCTGTGCTGTGTCAGCACGCGGGCTTGGGTTGGGCCAGGCTGTAAGCTGTGCCGTGGGCTTGGATCGTGCTAGGCTGGGCCACAGGGCGGGCCTTGGACCTAGGCCGAATCGGGCTGCATTATTTTTATTTTATTTTTGAAAATTTTGATTTATTTTCTAAGTAAAATTATAAAACTAAAATATTTAACTTTACTATGAACTTTAGGAATTAGGAACTATTTAAAAAATTAAGAAATGAGAAATCTAAGTTATTTAATACATAAATAAAAAAAAATACWTAACCAAATTGAAATAAGAATGATGGAATAACAAATCAAAAGAAAAATAGGAATTTTATTTCATTTAAATTTGAATGGTACAAATTAGTGAATTACAAATACAATGATTTGGATCATTGCATACTTATGAATGAAATATAAAAATGGAATAAATTAATAAAATATAAAAAATACAATATGGTTACAAATTGAAAATACAAAATTACATTGTTAAAAAATTAAAAAAATATATCAAATAAATTAAATAAAATTTAAAAATTTTACAGTAATTTGAAAAAATGAAAAAATCTACAAGTAGTCAAATTCATGAATTCATGGCTTTCATCTGCTTTGGGTGAAATGTTTGATGTTATATCATTGCCCTGTCTTGTCTTGTAGTCTATCTTCTACATCTAGCCAATCCTTGAAGTAGATGCACATCTCTATGCTCTCATCATTCATGTAGCCTTTTTTGTCATCCAACACCTTGGTACCTGTACTAAAACAAGACTCCGATGGAACTGTAAACACCAGAGGGGTTAGTAGATCACATGTCATGGTGGCGAGAATCGGATAATTTTTCGAGTGTTCACTCTACCAGGCTAAAATATCAAAATTATTTGATACTTCATCTAAATTAGAAAAATTTGCTTGCAAATAAAAATTAAGTTCGGTAAATGAACTTGTTGTAGAACTAGCATATTTCTATCTTTTACTTATTAAATAAAAAAAAAATTTCTCTTCTACTATTGGGCTCAAAGTTAGAAGAAGATGAGCATACAGATTCATACAAATTGTACATTTTAAATAATAAATTATTAATTTCTTCTTTTTTATTTCTTATATTAATATTCATAGTTTTATAGTGTTTCAAGTAAAATATCTAAACCATCTTTCCTAATCCTATCTAATATTGTAGCTAAATAATAAAGGGAAGAAATGTTCTTCCAATATTTTTTAAATTTATTTTTCATAATTTCAACAATACATTGAAATCGTGGATTATTTCGATATTTGGCAAAACAATCATTAATTACCATTAATTGATACGGTAAATTACAACGAGTTGGATAATAAATTTCAGATAATTCATTTGTCGCATTATAAAAATGTTTTAAAAAATCTTTTATACAGATTGCCATTTCCCAGTCCTCCTCAAATATCATATTTCATTAGGCATTTTTTAATTATAAAAATCAGAAAGAATTTATTTATGAGATATACAACTTTCTAACATAGCATAAGTAGAATTCCACCTATGCTTTACATCTAATATAAAATGTTTATATTTTAAACCATAATTTTTGCATAAATATTTAAATTATTGTTTTCTTGTCTCTGAACTTTTTATATATATAATACAACTTCTAATTTTTGAAATATGATTTGAAATAATATTCAAGGCATCTTGAATACATAAATTTAAGATGTGACATGCACATCTAATATGAAATAATTTACCATTTAGGCATGGTTTTAATTGAGATTTTAAAATATTTATTGCAGAATCATTATTGCTATCATTATCAAAACTAATAAAAAACAATTTTCATTAATGAGATGGCCGGTAACACAAATATAACTAATATTAAATTTGGATGTCTAAACATCTGAAGTAATTGCAACTTTAGAATTAAGATTTGCTAACAAAGAAATTAAATTTTGTTTATATGAATAAAAAAAATTTAAGCATCAGTTCGTAGTATTCCTAGAAACTTTTTTGTATTGTGGGTTTATAGAACTATGCAACCATTTTTCTATCTTTGGATCTTCAGTTAATATAAATGGTTGTTCTGCATGTACATACTTAGCAAGTTCTTGTCTCATTTTTTTTTGTGAATATCTAAAAACACCAAAACTAGTTCCCCTCCCAATCTGTGTTTGGGTTGTTTCTCTTCCTTCATCTTCCTCTCGCTCATGTGTGAGCAGATGTCTTCTCAAATGATCCGTACTACCTTTGCTACAATAACTAAAGTATTTCCTACAATTTTGGCAAATGACCCTTTTCCCCTTCTCAATATTCTCTACTTTGAAAACTTTCCAAACCGGGCTACTTAGCTTAGAAGCCCTCCTTTCTCCCCTAGTATCACTACTATCGAGGGTGAAAGTTCCACTTCCATCGACATTAAACGCATCGGCATTAGTGTTAACACTAATACTAACGTGATGTGATTGAATGTCATTCATGGTGAACATGTTGGGGAATCAGTTTTGAGAAGGGTCGGCCATTTTTTTAATTCTAAAAAGATAAAAATTAATCTAATTCGACTTACTCGGATTGTCGGTTCAAATCCCAACTTGATTTCAACGGTTAAAGCCTTTCAACGTCCAAGTCTCTCGAATTGAGATACTTGAGTTGGTTAAGCAAGCCTTCTTGTTAAAAGTCGAAACTTCGATAAAGTTGAGACTTGAGAATTGGAGAATGCAGAATCAGACAATCAACTAATCAGAATTTCTTAGATTGCAGATAATTGAGAATGTATGAGTATGAGAGAGAGAATTAAGAGAATTGTTGAATTGGTGTGATGAGAATGGTGGAGGATAGGGTTGTTTATAGGAATTGAACATAATTCAATTGCCCAAAATACCTAAAAAATTATTTGTTATTTAGTTGTTGGGAGGGGTATTTTGGTCATTCCAAAGTTATTTATAACTTCACCCAAAATGCCCCCTAAACTAGTTGTTATATAGATGTTGGGGGGAGCATTTGTCATTTTTTCAACCTCCATAAGCAAAATACAGAAATACCCCCCTAATATGGCTGTTTATAGCTATTGGGGGGGTATTTCTGTAAACCCCCCAAAAGTTGAAACTAGTCGTTGTGCCCCTTTAGGAGGGGGGCCCAACGACTATATTCCCAGGTAGGCCGAGCGCAGCTCGTTACGGGCCTGGCAGGCCGTCCCGTGCCGTGCTGGCTAGGCTTGATCATGGGTTAGGCTCGGGCCGTGCTTTGTACTTATGATAAGGGTTAAAGCTTAGGCCCGGGCCCGACTCGGCCCAGGGTTTTGGGCCTATAACATAAGCCCTAGCCTAGGTCTACACAGACCCGGGCTGGACCAGGCCTGATTCAATGACATGCATATAAACTTTTATTTTATATATTATATAATATAAAATATTACATATAATATAAATTATACATTTCATGTTATAATATTTATATATAAAATATATAATATAATGTAAAATAACATGTATACATATATATACATTATACACAAAATGTGTAAGTTTAAATATATGCGGGCCAGGCCGGGCTTGAAATATCAAGCCCAAGCCCGACCCTAAAATTTGTGGGCTTGATATGTGCTCGGGCTTGGATCGGGCTTGAACACAATCCAGGCCCAAGCTTGAAATTTCCAGGCCGGGCTGGCCCATGGGCCCTGAACCCCCGACCCAGCATGACACGGACCTTCGTGCCGGGCCTGACATGGCCTGTTAGCCATCGTGTTGTGCCATGCTGGGCTGGTCCAAAATCGTGCCAGGCCGTGTTAGGTCGCGGGTGGCTCGGCCTGATTTACACCTATATATAAGAGAGACAAAGGGTAATAGTGGGTTTTAAAAAATATTATACATCATGTGATGTCACATGTGTAATAATTTTGACGGAATATTAAGGGATCCTAACAGCAAGGGTAAAGCTACTTAATTGTCAAAAATAGTAGGGATTATTTAACACAATAGTTGAACAATAAAGTTAAAATTTTTCAATTAACTAAATAGTACGAATAGTTTAAGAAATTCGCCCCAGCTAAAATAGTAAAATTTCACAAAGAAAAAAGAAAACCCTCTCCTCTTCGTGGATCACTTGATTCCTTTTCGGGAACCGAACTGCAAGGCAGATGTCGAACCCTTTTTCTAAACTCATCCTCAGATTTCGTCTCACACAAGGAACCTTTTAAACTGGCATTATCCTTGGGTGTGCTATGAATATTTGAATTTAGGGGTTTTTATAGTTCAGTTGAGGGTGGAGTTAAGATTTTTAGTCCTGGATTGATGTCAAATACCCAGGAAGCAATTTTATTTGAAAACGAATAAGATGGAAAAATAACGTCTATGGATCGATTAACGTGGTCTGTTCATGGCAGGTGCAAAGGTCAGAGTGGAATGCCGAGACAGGGACACCCTGAACCTGCTCTTCAGCGTTGACGGTGTGACGGATTCCACTGGGTCATACAAGATCCAGGTCGCAGAAGACCACGAGGATCAACTCTGCGAATCAGTTCTTGTGAGCAGCCCCCAGAATGACTGTTCAGCAGTGGAGCCAGGCCGTGAACGTGCTCGTGTAATCCTCACCCGCGGCAATGGAATCGCGTCGGACAACCGTTACGCCAACTCTTTGGGCTTCATTAAGGACCAGCCTCTCCCTGGATGTGCAGAAATCATGAAGCAATACCAGGAACTCGAAGAGTAGGTCTGCCTTCGCTAGTTGTTACTAGTGTTACCCTTAATAGATTTTATTGGTGATGTTCGTAATATCTGTTATTATTGTTTGAGAAACTGCCTTGTGATGTCTTAACTCTTATACTATAAATGGATACGATAGCCATCAACCATATGTGTTTTCTGCATCTAGAATTTCTAACGGGAGTTGAGGACTCTTTCATTCCTCCATTTTGTCTTACTATTTTTCTTCTCCATTTTGCCTCTTGTTATCACTTGGAGATAGTGACCCAGTGCTATATAAAAATATGAACTATTTGCGTAATATTTCAATTGAGCTTTATATATTGATCCATCACTTGAGCCAATTCTTTTTCTTTTTATTTCCATTATCGTTTTGGTCAGTAAAGGAAGACAAGATATGAATGAGAGCTTTGGAGGAGGGTTGGTCAAAGCTCAAAGGCCTTTCGACATTGAGGACATGTTGAGGGTTCTGAGATGCTGTGACCATGTTTGCAATTTAACACTTGGGTATTGAAAAAGGATGACTGTGAGAATCATCCAACAGGAACTCAGATACAATGAGCATATTTCCCTCAATTTCGAGTGTAAACCTGCAAATCAAAAGCTAATTTAGAACCCTCTAATAGAGCTTTCAATCTCCATGAGAGAAAACAAAACACGATCACAAGTAAATTCTATAGTGTTATTGGTGGCTCGTGAATCACCCCGGTTGAATTGCCACCACGTGTACAATGACGTGCAATGACACTTGGCCAAACAGTGCTATATGATGGGCCCCAAGCTCAATTGACATGGAGGTTGGTGATGTGGCGGATCCATGTTGGCCGAAGAAATGAGCACTTGTGCATGTTGTGAATCTCGAACGACCGGGGGCATGTGAATACAAGGTTCAAAATATCGATACGTTCGATATGTCGGTATGGGTGTATTGGGCGAATCAATACTCATTTTGGTGGTTTTTTTTTGCCAACTGGTTCAGGGGAGTCGGTTTAGGTCTTCACTACACCCTGAACCGGTCAGGCTGTATCGGTGGGGTGCCAGAACGATATGTATCAGTCGATACGGGCCGATACGTGTTGATACTTTGAACCTTGGGTGAACACCGATCATCGAGCAGAGTTCAATGAATTACACTCCTTGTCTTACATTTTTGTGTGTGGAACACATTCTTGGAACCTCAGTTGAAGGCAACCTCAACGCCGAGATTGGCTTCAGCCAGTGCAAAGCCCGTTCGAACAGCCTTTACAGCCTTGCATCAGGAACATCTCCGTATTTTTATGCTTTATTTCATGATTTCCAATAAAAGACTGATGATTGTTTGAACGGACTTTACATCAATGCCATGTGTCCCCAAGCGCAGTCAACACAGGTATTTAAAAGCATGCCACCCAAACTATCCTTCACACTATCCGGCATTCTAGCTTTTTTGTTCTCTAGCTCACCTAGCTCACCCAAACTTGAGCGTCGGACTCCCCTAAAAATCACCTTGGGTTCTTTGACCATTTGTGTGTATAGATTGTCGGATCCGGTACAACTTGTCCAATTCATGAAGTGTAACAACATCAATTATTGAGTTCAAAAATATGTGGACTAAGGGGGTTTTCACTAACATGAGTGCTTTTGTTTTTCCATACATAAAAAAAAAGAAAGCAAAACAAAAACAAAGAAACATAATTGCATCTGTAGAGATGAAATGCCTGCCCAATTTACATTATTCATATCAATCTTGATCTGTTCTCATTGGTGGGATGCAACAACATAGGAGTGCACGGTCCAGATTGACACAGTATCCACTTGCCTTGCTTGTTATGAAACTTGGGGTCTTTGGTTCAATACAGTCGTACTCAGAAAAAAATAGTCACCCATTTATATCTCAAAACTCTTTTCGGTTTATACCTAGGGGTACAACTCGGGTTGACCCGAATTGACATTTTACACTGAGGGCTTTGGGTCACGTCTATTTAAATTTTGACAAAAAAATAGTCACCCTATTTTTACTCTTGTCATTCACCACGGAAATAGAATTGCACTTGGCACCAAAATGAAGGAATTAGAATCACACCTGCTTTTTATTTTGCATTTGGATCTGCTACCCACAGGACACTACAGCCACTCATCAGGAACATCTCCCGTAATTGCATGTTGTCATTCATGGGGAGATGTTCCTGATGCCTTGTGAGTGGCATTCTTGTGCATAGCAGATTCAGATGCCTTTTATTTTAGGTTTTGAGAATATTACTTCAATAACTTCCTGTTTTTTAAAAAGTAATTAAACCTAAGTACCTAACCCATATCAATGAAATGCGAAAGGGAAATTTATTCAAGTTTTTTGGATGGGTATGTGAAGGAAGATCGAGGCAGGGGTTATAATATTGGCTAGAAAACTCCAATTGCAGAAGGAACTCATATCAACATTCAGAAATGTCTGACATTACAATAACATGCACTTGGGCATATTCCATCCATTCCTTTGCATAATTTTAATATGGTGAGTGATGTGATTGTGAGGTGAAAGCCATAGGGATGCAATTTGTGCAGATTGGACCTAATTGGACTTGGAAAGATTGGTCAAGTTTAAATAAATTTATGAATCCACAGCCCGAAAGTTTAGGCCTAAATCTTACAAAAACTCAGGTTGGGGCGAATTGGGCTTGGGTTGAACCGCACGAGTTACAACTTACAACCCTGTTTGAGGAGAGTGAGATGGAAACTTGCCAGAATTAACTTGATATGATAGAACAATATTTACTGTTTACAAGTTTTATTAAGTCATATAATGGTAATTTCTCTCTCGGAGGGGATTTCTCTTTTTCTCTCTTGGGAGGGGATTTCTCTCTCACAACTATAGATGTGAATTTCTCTCTCACACTCCTGTGTGAACATTTCTCTCTCACATCTGAGGATGTGAGATTCTTTGCAGTGCTACTGTTATCAGCGTTGATTGGAGAGATTCCTGTGACGGTTTTGATCCAGGCCCGTGGAGATAATTTCATATCTCTGGTTCTACTCCTCATTGACTTTGTTCAATCTGTTCATTTTTCTATCTCTGTAGGGCTGTTTATAAGAAGATCCAACCCGATTAAACCGACCAACCTGGACCGATCCAACCTGAGTCGGCCGGGTTTTCTTCAGCACCGGTTGGTTTCGGGTTGTAAAAAATCATAAACTGATGGTTCGGGTTGGTTTCGGTTTTCATGTCTGAAAACCGAAACCGATCCAAACCAAACCGACTTAGTAGTTAGTTCCTAATTAGAGTTACAACCTACTTAGTTCCTACTTAACTAAATTGTCTCTATCCTACTTACAACCTAACTTAATTTCTAGTCTTCTAGTTAGAAATGACATTAATGGCAAGTCTTGTAAAACAATTAGACAAGGAATTTTTTGGAAAAGTTTAAAGAAAAGAATGGAAGGATCCTAGTTTCTATGGTCTTTTACACCAAATAGGCAACCAATTACAATTAGAATTAGGTGTCCTTTTTTACTTAGATTAGAAAGTTTCTTAAAATATACAAATTTCAGTCTTCTTTCTCTAATACAATTTGACTTTTTATTTTCTTGATAACTTCTATTCTAACTTGGCCCGCCCCCTTAGCCCCTCAACTCAAGCACAACCTCTAATACAATTTGACTCTCAAGAATCAAAAATTTGAAATTTCAATTTATTACCAGGGTTGAACTTAGAGCCGAAACCGACCCAAACCGATCCAACCTGACTCAAACCAACCAAGTCGGTTTTGCTTAACACAGGGTCGGTTTCGATTTCAATTTCAGGTAACCCGACCAGGTCGGGTCGGTTGGAAAAATCTCAGTAAACCGACCCAACCCAACCCGTGAACAGCCCTACCTCTCTATTTGGTATTGGTTGCTTGTGTGAGGTGCACTTTTTAGGGTCTGCCTTGGGACTTTATTTGTTTTTCCTTTGAACACTTCAGCCGTTAATTTGGGGATGGTCTATATATGATCTTCTTTGAAGATTGGTTTTGCCCTTTTAATCAAGTTTACTTCAAGGGGATTTTGTTTGCTTCTCGTGTTTTCCGACAATGGTGCCACTTCCGACCAGATTTTGGGCTTATTGTGTGATTCTTTGCTCTTGTTAGGGCTGTTCATAACAAGACCCAAACTGACCAAACCGACCAACCCGGTCTGATCCAATCCGAATCGGCCGGTTTTTCTTTAGCATTGGTCGGTTTTGGATTACAAAAAAGCATAAACCGATGGTTTGTAACTTAGTTCCTAGTTAGTAGTTACAACCTAACTTAGTTTCTAGTTACTTATTAGTTATTACTTAGCTAGGTTGTCTCTATCCTAGTTACAACCTAACTTAGTTTCTAGTCTTTTCTTTAGGAATGCCATTAATGGCAAGCATGGCAAGACAAGGAATCCCTAGTCCTACTCCCTACACCTTTCCTCCTTTAGAAATATTAGCTTGATAGCTTCGTGCATTTTTTTGGAAAGGTTTAAAGAAAGGATCCTACTCTCTAAGGTCCTTTACACCAAATAGGCAATTACAATTAGGTGTCCTTTTTTCTTAGATTAGAAGCCTTCTTTAAATTTCCAAATTTCAGTCTTCTTTCTCTAATACAATTTGACTCTTCTTTTCTTGGTAACTTGGTCCACCCTCAGCCCCTCAACTCAAGCACTCTTCTTTCTCTAATACAATTTGACTCTCAAGAATCAAAATTTTGAAATTTCAAGTTCATTGTTCAACTTCAAAACATCACTCGAACTTGGCTCTCCCATCTTCTCATTCTCTCAACTCAAACTCAAGTCTCAACTCTCAACTTCTCAAGACTCAAGCAACAAGCATCACATTCAGTCATTCAAAGGTTAGTATTTTTTTATTTAATATTTTTAAAATTTAATGCATGTTACAAGTTGATATATTTTATTTGTGTTTTGTTTAAGTTTAAGCTTTGAAAAAAATCCGGTTATTTCTGATATGTTTGCAAAAAAAACTTCAATTTTGTATGAAAAACCTAATCTATTTAAATATATATTTCGGTTTTAATTTAAATATATATTTTATATTTAAAACTGTTAAATAAAGATATTTCGGTTTTGCATAAAAGCCAAAATATCTGAAAAAATATATATTCTGAAATATATCAGATATATATTTCTAGAAAATATATATTTCAGTATATTTGTATATATATTTTTGTTTAAATATATATATATATATTTCTAAAATATATATTTCAGTTTTAAATATAT